TTAAAGAGTTCCCATTTACTCGAGGTTGCTACAGATGCACAGCCATCTTGACTGTCAGCATTCTGCAGTGTGAGTGGTCCATATGTTACCATCATGATCCTCTACTGATAAGAATTATCACCCACACTCCATACTTTACATAGGGCTTTCTCTGAGTTTTTTTTTTTTTTTTTGCCAGTCATGGTGCCTGAACTCTGGGCCTGGGCACTGTCCCTCAGCTCTTCAGCTCAAGGCTAAGCGCTTGAGCCACAGCACCACTTCCAGCTTTCTCTGCTTATGTGGTGCTGAGGAATCAAACCCAAGGCCTCATGCATGCAAGGCAAGCACTCTATCACTGAGCCACCTTCCCAGCCCCTTTCTCTAAGTTTTCTCCATATTTTTGGATTTTAATAAATACATAGTTATGGACTCAGTATTCTATTTCCAAACAGAGTAGTTTTTCTGTCTTCATCAGCTTATGTAATCTAGTTATCCATCTTTCCTTCGCTTCATGGGAAGCATCCATTTGCAATCCCCATATACCTAGGCATTTCCCCACTGTCCCTGCCCCAGAATTGCACATAAATAAAAGGCTGCAAGAGGAATCCTTTAAAAATAATTTTAATTACTCTTTGAGGAGGAAAAGAAATGCTGGGACAAAACCCTAAGCTGGCTGGGTACTGGTGGCTCACATCTATAATCCTAGCTGCTCAGGAGGCTGAGATCTGAGGATCATGGTTCAAAGCCAGCCCAGGCAGGAAAGTCCATGAGACTCTTATCTCCAATAAACCACCAGAAAACTGGAAGTGGCACTGTGGCTTAAGTGGTAGAATGCTAGCCTTGAACTGAAGAGCTGTGGGTCAACGCCCAGGCCCAGAGTTCAAGCCCCACAACTGACAAAAACAAAAAACAAAAGAAAAACTCAATCATGTCAATAAAAAACTTTGGAATGAAAACTCCACGAGACCCAAAGTCCACTGTGGACCCAAGTCTAAATACAGGGCCTGGCTTTCCACTAACACCTACATATCCCAATCTTATAGTTAATCTCTCTGAGCCTCAGTTTCCTCACTTATAAAACAGATACCATATTACCTGTGGCCTTTGGATTTTTATGAGAAAAACATTTATACCTATAAACATCTAATATGTTTTATATATCTAAAAACTTCAGGGAAAGTCAGATTCTTTTTCCTTGCTACCCAGGTTTACCATACTCTGGTGAGGAAATGACAGGTCAGAGAACCAAAGCAAACACCTATACGCTCTATCCCTATACTGAGGAAGAACCTGGACCTCACCCTTGTAGTATTCCCTCCTGTATTGCTCTTGCTCACATTACTTCTGACAAAGGGAAGGCTATTCCTTTCTCAGTACCTACAAAGGGTCTGAGATATTAGCCCATTTACTTGCCAGTGTCACAGATAATGGAAGACAGGAGGCTCCTGAGTTTGAAATAAACTTTATTGCTCCTGCTGGTATGTTCTTTGTATTTTTGTTGGTTTCCTGGTCCCCCAAGTTTCATGTTGTTGACTCAAGGTCCCAGGTGGAGACTACAGAACAGACATTTGGTATCAAAGCTATGGAACCCCTATCTTAGGAACTTAACCACGCCTTTTTTTTTTGACTTTTTTTTTTTTTTACTGAATTATCTACGGGTTTCTTTTTTTTTTTTTAGATTTTTTTTATTGTAAAGATACTATACAGAGGGTTACAGATACAT